TTTTTTCTTCCAATTGATGCTTTCTTTGGTGGCATGATTTTATTTTTTTGTGAATGTAAATAATAATACTTTGTATGTTGAACTGATCTCAGATGAAAAAGAATTCACTATCGTTTGCGCAGTGTCTACACTTGCTATGAGCGAATGTATTAGCTATGCGACCTTATATTTATGTAACTCAGGCAAACAATATAAATATGTCCTCTGAAGGTACCTTCCACTTAAAAAGATTAAAAATCCTTATATTTTATCTATGCTAAAACGTGTGCAAACAGCAGAAGATATTCTCTGCAGGTACTTTTCCTGCAATAAATTAAAAAAAATCGGTAGACTTTCGCAACCTCTTATTTATCTGAATTAGTGTATACAGAAGAATTTCTTTGTACGTAGGTATTTTCTTCAAGAATGTTGTGGAAAAATCCCAAGATTTATGAAGCCATTGTTTAGGTAAACTTGGGAAACAAAATATACTCTTGTAAACAATATTTAGCTACCTTCAACCGTAAAATAAAACCGAATGCTATAATTCTGCAGGTACTTTCCTCCCAAATAATTTGAAATTTTGAAACCCTTTATTTATGTGAACTTAGGTAACAAAGTGTTTTCTATGTAGGTATTCTCTTCATGAATGTTGTGGAAAAATACCAAAATTTATACACCCAAATTTAGGAAAATTATGCAAGCAAAATCTCGTATGCGCATTAGGAAAAAATATTACAACATTTTTTATTGCAAATTTTATTATATTTTTTTAAGCCTTATTCAATAAGAAACAAAAGTTATGCATTAATATTGAGTACTTTTTTGGTTTTTAACTATTAAACAAATTCCGTTTTTAAATTGCAACCTGGTGAAAATTTACACAACTCTGGCATTAACATACATACATATGTTCACATATAGATTTAAAAATTTGGATTCGGCATTTTCTTTCTGGTAAGCTTTCGGTTTGACAGACTTTGAAGTTTATCACACTCTAAATCTTTGGTATTTCTTAAAAAATATTATCCGATTTTATTTTCTTAAGTATGTGGACACTCTATACGATAATTGGTCTTAACTGAAACATTTCCCAATAGCTCCCGTTTGATACGTATCCTGCGAAATACTTTTTAATACACACATTTATGTCATTTAACTTTTTTTGTAAGAGGTGGCAACGCTACTCAAAAATATGTTTGGCGTGAATCTTTCTCCAATACCTTCCGTTTGATACCCATATTGCAATATTTGATGTGAATTGCATTAGATATTCATTATTTTTAACTTTTCGACCAGGTGGCAACACTTATTAAAATATTGTATATGTAAATTTTCTTAAATATCTTTCTCAAATACCTTCCATTTGATATCTATACTTACTTTACTTGCATATTTAAATAAATTTTATTTTTCTGACAGGTGGCAACTCTTTCAAAAATAGCCAAACTTCACAGGAACACTCTCCGAGTTTCTATGAAGCTATCCTGGAAATTTTAACAAAATCGGCTGAATGGTTTCGGAGTCTATAAGCTGCATAGATACATACATACATACATACATCCTTTTTTATATATATAGATTAATCAATTGTCGGAGCCGGCAAAATCGGACCACTACAACAAATAACTTTCATATACATCTAAATTTTTTTCAGATACATTATATTATTTTTATAACTCCTCCATTTATGTAGCTAGGAACATGAAACTTCGCTCCACTTTTACCTACTATCAACATATAGTTTACAGTGAAAATTAGCACTATAACTTATAGCCTCCATACAACTGATTTTTCAGATATAGGGGTTTACTTTAAAACTCCTCCAAACCGGCTAAAACCGAGGAATTTCGTGAGCTATTTTATAAATAATCATACAATGTTTGAAAAGAAAATAGTCAAGATCGGTGTGCCTTAAGATATATCTGCTATACCACTGATTGTTCAGATAAATGTTTTTGCGATATAACATCTTTATGTAGGCAGCTAATACCTTGAAATTTTGTGACCTGTTTACTTATCGATCATACAAGGCCCCGTAAATATAACTAGCTGATTGTTCAGATGTAAGTTTTTTTTTGTATATAACTCTTCTGCTAATGGTTGTACTGAAGGTAATTTTTAGCTGCTTAAGAACTAATTTAAAATGTAGTAAAGGTTGAAGTAAAGTTTTTTTAAAGGTATGAAACCTTCGGCTAGCCGAAGACAAGTTAAGTTTTTAACTCTGATTTACTCGTATATACAGAACAGAACATACCTTTGGTTTTGGCATGAACAATGTTTTTATAAAAACTTTGCAACAAATTTTAATGGAAAACACTGTGCAAATTTAAAAAATCACCATGAACTCTTTTTTGAGTAACTATATATCCTTATATGACTCTACCAAACTCATTACCCTTAGCTTCAGGAAGCCTCTATGTAAAAGGTTTCGAAAATAGGATAAATACTTAAATACACTCAACAATTAAAAGTTTGGAAATTTTTCGGATGTTCGCCTGTCTGTAGATACTTGCGGTTATTGA